TCTCCAAGTGAGAAGAAATTTGAGTTCATCAGTAAAGTGACCTAACCGAGGGAATCTGTGTTATCCCTGGATTTTCAGAATACAGTGTAGAGAAAAAGGAAATAAAGTAAATGGCTGACATAAATCATAGCTTAAAGTTAATCTCTTGGACTCTCTTGGTGAGACTAATACATTAGGTGGGACAGGACATTATTTTATTCTTTTATTCAGCCAAATGCACTTTAAAACTTCCAAAAAAAAGTATTATGTTTAATAATGTTCTACCTTTTTTGTTCACTTTGCCAATTTTGTTCTTAATCTAATTTTATTACGATTTTTGTTTCTTATTTATTTATTTATTTTACCTTGGCTTTGAACACTAGCTATTCTTCAATGTCCAGTGAAGAATATTATCCTCATGGGTCAAACCACTCAGGGAATTGTCCTATGAAAAACTGAAAATAAATGGTGTATATTTGCTGATATGTATTAGTTCCTCTTAAAGTGCACTACACTTGAACTTATTGCAGCATTTGCACAGAACACGCTTTGTTATTAAGAGGGAAGAAAGCAATAGTTGAGGAAGGATCAGCATTCACTCACCTCACCCACCGTCTCTGTATGTATTGATCCAGCACAGTTCAAAGACTTGTGTCTTTTGACGGTTTGATAACATAAACAATTGCGCTGCTCGACTGCACCCGACAGCCAGACAAGCAACAAACATGCATCTTCACACAACACGACTGTCAATAGACTGTTCAAGCAGACATAACTAGATGAAATCAAACATGTAGTATACAAACAATATTGGTTGTAAAAAAACTAAGGAAGTTTTTCTTTTTTGGATTGGTTACCCTGACAGTTTTTTAGATTGGTCAGCAGAAGTGTTGTGTTTTGTGGTACACTGGTACTGCCTTTATCTTTCTTCTGCATTAGTGCAAATATATGTTTCCTAGAGAAGTGTTTCTCAACCATGTTTCTGGAGGACCACCAGCTCTGCACATTTACCATGTCTCCTTAACCAAATACACCTGATTCAGATCATCAGCAGAGACTGATAGACCTGTAATGGGTGTGACAGACAAACGCGACATCCAAAGCAGTGTCAGTGGTCCTTCCATAACGTGGTCTTTAAAAAAAAATCATACTTATTAATAATTTCTGTACCTGAGGTTTCCAATTTGAGAAAGCCATTTCTGTCATGAACACTCTTGGGAATTAGTATGGTAATGAATCTCTATATGCAATGTTAGAGCTGCTACGCTGCTGCTGCTGCTGCGATTATTATTGCAGAGAAAATACCGAGACTTGCTACTGCCAGTATATACACAGACATGCCGTCGGAGAATATAATATGCTGCTGCTACAAACATAATACATATATATCCCCCGTAGCAGATCTAAAACAAGTGGAGCTGGGGTGAAGGAGGGTCTCTGAAAATGCCCCGCAGCTTAACATCATAAATTGACACGGAGCATTTAAACTGATGAGGAGCAAGCTCATTGGCTGCCGAGGTGGCAGCAACCAATCTCCTGCGGCATGAAGTTAATGACACGGGAGCAGATTAAGTGAACCTTTCAGTTTGCGCTCGCATAGAGTTTCATGGCAGATATTTTACAAACTGTAAACATGGCGGAGGAGAGGCTGATGTTTGACTGATATATTTTCTGTAATACATCAGCTACAATGCTTTGTCTATTTTTTATATTCTTTAATTTACATTTAAAAATAACTTTTTGCATTTTACAAAAAGAAAGCATGTATGTACATGAAATTCCATGACCACACATCTAGAAAAGCAAAACAAATACCAAATGCAAAGGGAGGGGGGGGGTTGTTTTTATTTTTTACAGTTTTTTTAAGTACACTTTCTTTTTTTCTCTCTCTTTCTGCTAGCTAAAGATTATAGTGTTTAAACAAAATTCCCCAAAAAAAACAAGTAAAGTTGATCATAGTGCACTCCATGATTTCTAACTTATTATGCCAACAGAACAGTTGAAGGTGGCGTGTATATTAAAATGGTGGGATATCAATGGTTAAGCCTTGCAAAATTTTATTCAAATCAATAAATATGTATATTACTAACACACACACACACACACACACACACACATATTTATATATATATATATTGTTACACCAAATGCAACTCAATCTAGAGAATATGTAAAAACAGGCACTTCATTTTTGATGTATAACATTGTGGGCTGGGTGTTTGGGGTTAATTCATTTTCCTTCATAATCTTTAATAATCAAAACAACTTTCCCACCTTCTTCTACAACATTTTCTTATCTCTGATGTTGTGTTTGTTGGTATGAGGGTGGAATAATCTGTCATGAGATCATCCAATACCAGCCACCACCATCCACGCAATTCCTGATGCATAAAAAGTCCATTCCTTCATTAAAAAAAAAAAAAAAAACATTTCACCCCCTTCCATCATTTATACACAATTCCTAAGATTTATCAGACAAATTTTATTGTCCAGTTTTTGTGAGCACATGGAAATAATAGCCTCAGGTCGGGTTTCTCAGTAGCTATAAAACCTGTTCATGACCACTGTTTGGTCAAATAACACATTAAAGCAAATTACAAAATTGTAGTGTAATCCACAGTCTTGCTCTATCCCAGACTCCAATATTTTAACCATTTATAAAAAACGAATCCCTGTTTGACCATCTGATATTTGGAGATGGATGTTACCAGTGCAATCGGGATTTTTAATAGCATTACAGCACACCATGAACATATTTTAGTAGCATTTGTTGTCCGCTTTTGTCATCTGTAACTGTGATGTCAGACTTAAAGGCGTAGTTTGCCTAAAAATGAAAATTTACACCCTATTTATTCACACTTATGTGGTTCCAAACTGTTGGGAGTTTCTGTCTAATGTTGAACATAAAAGAAGATATTTGATGAATGCTGAAAACCTGTAAACAATGTCTTCCTTAGTAGGAAAAACAAATAGTATGGACATCAGTGGTTACAGGATTTTGACCTTCTTCAAATGTGAAAAATTGTTTTTGTTGGAAAGAGAAGACCTTAGTTTAGCCAATGATGTGCTTTGGTTTAGTCACATGACATGCAGTGTTTTTCTGTAGCACGATTTTTGACAGACTGGTGTTTATTGTGAGTAGTTGCTAAATGCAAATGTAAACGTGAATAAAAACAAAGGATCAAATTATGTCAGATCCACAAAAAATTCTGAAACATCACCTCGAGTAAGTTATGATGACATATTCATCACTCAAGTTTTTTTATCAAATTAGTTTTTTGTAAATCAGTCAAATGTGGAACGTGCAATATTCCAATGGATTAGCTAGCTAGCAAGGTCAGCTGTGAACTTATAAGTTGTAACAATAGCAACATGAATGCTAGTAATGTAATGTTGATTAGTCATATGGTAATGGAATTTGCATTATGGATAAAATCTGATTTTAATGGCTATACTGCGTTTGAATAGATGTGAATACAGGGAACAGTGTATTAGCGAGCACCACCATTTTCTAAGGTAAGTGAAACAAGAAAATGACAGAACTGGCTCCTCCTGCAGATGAAAGTGAGCGTGAGATGGGTTTGAGTGACCATGAGAATAATACAGACTGGGCATTTGATAAGAGCAGTGATGCAGGCAGTTTAGGTAGGTTAGCTCAGGGGCATATAAGACAGGCATAGTATTCACCTTATTCTCCGCCGACGAGCGGGCGCTGCCATTTGAATCTTTTTGTCTCGCGACTTCCGGTCACATTCACTTCCATTCATTTTTTGACGAAACTGCTCGTTACGCTGCTTGATGTTGCAATTTGATATTTTCTTATTATACTATTCTACTTGGTCTGTATATTCATGCAAACATTTGTTAGTAGAGCAAGTAGTTTGACCATTTTCTGCCGTTTATTATTCCTAGTCATTTCTTTAATAGGGGACTGAATCGGAAGTTCTAAGACAATCGCAAAAGCAGGCGCACTTCCGCATTTTAGAATCAATAGTATATAGTATAATATATAAACATTATTAGCTAGTAGCTACATTATTCTGATGCATCTGGATATATTAGACTTGTTTTTTATTTGTTATAATATTTACTTGAGAAAATATTAATATTTACTGTATGTTGGATGTTACATGTTACATAAATAATGTTACATGATTATACAATATTATGTTTGTTTTTAATCAGCAAAAAAAATATGGAATAAATGAAAGCTGTTGGAATATGAGTTGTTGGAAAGTATGTATGAGGTGTCATTTATAAGTTTTGTGTTAAAGCTTATAATACTGCAACACCAGTTAAATCATTTCAAATACAAAATTACAAATTAGGTGCTTTTTAGTAGAAATTACATGACAAATTAAAACCTATCTGTACTTTTCAGCACTCAAAATCCCGACAATTCATGCAATATTTACAACAGCTCTGGCAGAACCAACCAAGACAGAAGCTCCAGTTTGTTTCATTCATTCTTCCATCTGTCTTAAACAATTAGACCTAACTAAAATCCAGCTAGAACCTGTATTTTTTGATTGTTTTTTAATAAAGAGAATGAAAAGAATGTTATTATACCCTGACTAAAACACTAAATGTAACTAGGGGCCTAAGACTTTTGCACTTTACTCTATATCACAGATCTCCATATCAATTTTTCCCAACATCCCTTGTTGTGGTGTCATGATTTGCCTGAGAGCTTGCCCTTTCTAGGCTGATCACAGCACTGATCAATGATCATGTTGACTCTGGTGCAAAGCTTTTTGATTAGGAGACTAATTAAAGGGAAAGCTGCTCTCGAAGAAGAGAGACTGAAACATGTGAGAGAGAAAATAAGAAGGAGGGTTAGAGATTCCACTCCAGTCGCTCTCCATTACTAAGATGTGAGTTATGAAATCAGCAGTGAACCCCAGACTCGTTGCAAGATTTCCAATGTGTGCTTTGAGGCTCAGTAAGTCACAGGAATCTGGATATTAGAAGTAATTTAACATATTTAAATATTTGCATTTCTTCTTTTCGCTTTTCCTCAGGGGGGCTTTTATAAAGGTGTAGCGGGATCTCAGGTGACTCTGTCCAGTTTGGTGAACCAGAGCAGGGCCATGCTGGAGGAACAGGCCAGACATCTTCTGACCGAACCGGAGAGGCAGACCATGGGTTACTACATCCAGGAATATCGGGACGGGCACGTCGGTGTTGAGCAGCTCGTCATGGCTCTCTTTGAGCTCTTCAATACACACGCCAAGGTTTTGCATGACTTTTGTGCATTTATCAGACACTTCCATCCACAATAAAGAGGCTACATTAGAATTCTGAAATTATTTTCATTAGGGATGCAATGAAATGGATATTCTGGAATGAAACTGGACATTCTGGATGCACTTGGGTGAAACCAAAACTAAAAATGTTTTATATATTTTATAATTAATTTTAAATCATAAAATTAATTACTTTATTAAATGACAAACCACTTTAAATTTCAAACAGTCGTTGACAAACCAGTCAGTAAAATTTGACTGTCGATAAAATATGGTTATATATTTATGTTGTTTTTTTAGCATGACAGTATAATTTAGATATAATTTAAGATATTTTAAGTATAATTTAAGATATTTTAACAGACTGAAGAAGGCCTGGAAACAGTTCAACTTTGGCTTTTAATGAATTTTTACACGTTTTAGTCAGAGTAATCCCTTTAGGTCGCTGCAACAACAACACTGTCAAAACCATACCTTGCCTACTCTTAAGCAACCCCCCCCCCCCCCCTTCTCGAGTGCACAGACTCACTTTTTACCATAATCCAGCACCACAACATAATCACACACCAAAATATAACACAAAAATGGTACTTAAACCTTTTCTAGCATGCCACAATATTATTTGGTTAAATTGAAAAAGTCTTACAAAATTACTTTATACACTAAAAAAAAAAGTTTTTTTCCCTGCTGAAAAATCCAGCTTAAACCAGCCTTGGCTGGTTTTAGCTGGTCGACCAGCCTGGTTTTAGAGGGGTTTTTTTCCAGCCATTTCCAGCCTGGTCTTAGCTGGTCAGGTGGTATGTCCACAGAGGGGGCCGAACTATTATTGAACTATTCTGAAAGTGGCGCATGTGCAAGCAAATGATACCTAATTTGGGACATCCCATTTTTTATTTTTTTATTTTTTATTTTTTTTTATTGTTGCAAAAAGTATATTTCACAAAACAGGGAACAATTAACATCGCTAGGCATGTTTACCATATAAAAATTAATTAAAATTGTCAAATCTGCAACAAGGAGCAAAGAGTTGTACAAAAGACCTACATAAATGAGGGAAAAACACTATAACAATAAAGATTCTGAAAATGAAGTACACAGAGCTTCAGTTATTTTATTTTGGTTTCTGAAGTAATTGAAGCTTTGATCCACTTTCCTCAGAAAGTAAACATCGAAAAGAGGGCCTGCACTTTTTCCATTTACAACAATGAATATGAAATTTACCCATTAGTAAAATAAAGTTTACAACATCAGAGAAAGAAAAATGTAAATCACATTTGTAAAATAAAGTATCTTCTAGAACAATGGGGGACTGAAATCATCTTTAAGGAAAGCCAAGTATGGATGTCAAAACCAGAATTTAAAAGTAAACTGACAAGAAAAAAATAAGTGATCGAGTGTTTCTGGAAAATTTGAGCAGAAACTACACTTGTCAACATCAAACTTAAATCTTTTTTAATTTGGGACATCCCTACTTTTATCCATTATGTTAACTGTAGCTAATGACTTACAAGTGAGTCAAAAAATAATTTAAATGCTTTTAAAGTGACATTCTTATTTTTTATATTTATATGCAAACACAGTGGGGGGAAAAGTATTGAACACGTCATCATTTTTCTCAGAAATCATAATTCTAAAGGTTTTGTTGGGTTAAACTTTTCACCAGATGTTGGTAGCAACCAATGAAAAACATATGAAAAGAAAAGACATCTAATTAATTCATGAATGAAGTGATGTGTAGTAAAATAAACCGACATAGGGAAAGTATTGAACACATGAAGAAAGGGAGGTGTAGAAAGGCAGTGAAAGCCCAGACAGCAGCTGAAATCGCTCAGTAGTTTAAAGCAACCCTCTGCCCTTTAAACAAAACAAAAACATTACACTGTATTTTATTTGTACATGGATAATAATACAAAATGTTAAATGATGAGAAAATCTGCATTAAAATGATTTCTGATAAAAATTGAAGGTGGGAAATTAATAAAATGCAGGAAAATATATTAAAGTACAGTACAAACAAAATTGTTTTAAATTATCTTATATTTAAATTAAGTTATGAAAATATCTTCATAAACTATTGTATTTACAGAATCTTTTATGAAATAGATTCAACCTTGGTTAAAATAAGAGACGTTTAAAAAGTCTTGCCAACTCCTAACTTTTGAGTTGTAGTGGATTCACTTCAGTGTTCAGATTTTATACTTGAAATATTTTTATAATAGGCGTTACTGGCTGAATTCATTAATCTTAATAAAAACACAAAATAAAACACACTGACACCATCAAAAATGTCTTCATTTTATTGGTTCATTGGGTTGATTTACAGCAAGACTTGCATCATTTTACTTGAACATTTATGAACGTATTAAAACCCCTAAGATTAAAGCACTAAACACAAGCCTAGTCATATTCACGCTTCTGTGTGTGTGTGTGTGCGTGCGTGCGTGTGTTTGTTGGCAGTTTTCTCTGCTGTCCGAGGTCAGGGGAATCGTGACCCCTCAGGATGTGGAGAAATTTGACGGTCTGGTCCTGAGACGAGAGATTGATGCCCTGAAGGCGAGACAGGGTGGGGGAGCAGGTTTCCAAGACTCCTTCTCCATGGTCTCGTATCCAGACACTTTGGCCTCCTCCTCCGCCAGCTTCATGACCAACACTACCCTCAGCTCCGCAAGGGTGAGAACTCACAGTCATTATTTTAGAGCCCTATCATTATTGTTATGAAGGAAAACATGATGGAATTGTGGGATTCAGTCATATAAATGATATGTGTTTAACTGAATGTCACAGAATTACTTAAATGAATAAATCAAAAGTGGGTCAGTACACTATTATTATATGTACTGTTATTTTTTAATAATCATAATGACCAAATATACAGTATTAATAACATATTCGTACTGTTTTTGTTATGATTTAATTTTTATTTTCTTTTTCTTCAATAATTTCACATTACAATCAGTTTACACATATACCTTCTTTTAACATCCCCTTATCCCTCCCCTCCCCTACAGCGGCAGTGCTGTCATTGAGTATTGCTATCATAGACCCAGTAAACACAAATACTTATTATTAAACTCCATAGGAACAGTAACAATACAATAAGACATAAATAAATAATAAAAAAATCAAATAAATACAAATAATAAACGAATAAATAATTAAATTTTTGTTGTGCGTCTTACCACAATAACCTTATTCCTTCTCCAAAAATGCCAAGTAATTTCCCCATCTTCTCTGATAAACATCCAATTTATCTAGTATTCTATATGTCATTTTTTCATATGCTGCCACCTTCCCCAGTTCTAACCCATTCTTGAAATGATGGTGGACTTGGAGTCCAGTAAAAAACATTTAAGATTTTAAATTGTATGAAACGCACTCCTAAATTTCTTGACATTACTTTACAGTTTTTACAATTTTTTTTCCAATGGTCATCACTAAATATACAATTTAGCTCCTTACTCCAAACTGTTTTAAGAGCAGAATAGGAACTACACCCCATCTTTTCCATTAACCATTTATAATATATTGAAGAACTCTAAGAATTACTGTTAAATTACAGTCTTCCTCTGGAGCTCGATTAACCAATCTTAAGCGTAATTTTTAATAGATGCCTAATCTGTAAATATCTCCAAAACTGATTTTTATTGAGGCCAAAATGTTGTGATAATTGGTTAAAGGATTTCAAATTGTCATTTTCAGTACTGTATTTTATTATATTTCAACTTTATTAATTTGACTTTTATAAATAAAATTATAAATATATATTTCCCCTTTTCCTTTATAGCAGCATAGTGGTTAGCACTGTTGCCTCACAGCAAGAACGTCACTGGTTCAAGGCCTTAACAGGCCAGTAGACTGTGCAGAGTTCACATGTTTTCCCTGTGTTCGCGTGGCTTTCTCCGTGGTTCTCCGGTTTCCTCCCAAAGACATGGGACATAGGTGAATTGACCAATCAAAATTGGCACTATAGTCGAGCTCTTAACCAGCAGTACATCTCTACATAACAATCCTTGTCATTAACCCAAAATAAGGGGCAGGAATTCTTGAGACCCATCTGAGCTCAAACTCCCCTCTCACCATGCAAACAGGAGGGAGCCCCAGGCTCGAGGATCTTATGAGTTCAGGGATCTCTCTAAGTTAAGCTAAGTGTAAACTCTTAACATGTTGTTGTAGGTTAGGTGATTGCATTAGTTTATATGTTACAGAGGAATGCTTCTATAAGTTGTTTCTTTTTTGCTTGTTTTTGGACCTAAATGTTCTATACTGTTTTAAAATGTTCTAAATAATGCCTCCCTTTTAAAGGTGAAAACATGGAAAGATATTTTGAAACTAGTCAATGGTGGAAAGCGCTGTGTCATTACTGATGGAAAACAGCATCAATAGCAGGGAAAGTGTTATCCCCTCACTCCACAAAAAAAGACAAAATCCCCCCCAAAAAATAAAGGCAAAACAGCAAGAATTTGGATGCAACTCAAACAGAAATTCACAGCACGATGCAGCTATTACACTAATTATTCAGCAATTATTATTGAACAAGTTCCAATGTCTATACATCTACAATTTCAGACAGGAAGTGCTATGCATCGTTATTTGTGTGGGATAAGTGGACAGCATTGTTGTGACATAGACATAAAAATCCGTTCTCAAATTGCTGGGCAATTTGGGCACAAAGCAGGAGTGTGCAGATGACTAGGATTCAAGATGAAGGGCTTTAAAGTTGCTGTGGGGAACAGCTTTTGTCCTTTCCGCTGGAGGCTTTCATGCCCATCTCTCGACACCCGTCTGTCCTCCTGTCTCACTCTGTCAAGGCATGTCTCACCTCCGCTCATCTACGTCTTGTTGTGAAAGTGCAGCTGTTTAGGTTTGCTGCTGTCTCAGGGGTGTGTGTGCTGCTGCTGTGACAGATGGAGAAGTGTTTTCTGACAGATTTTCAAGCCTGCTGACTCCCAGTGTAAATTGCAGGAACAGTTTAACACCCAATTCCCTATCCTTCTCAATAAAACAGGAAAGACTGCTGTGGCTGATAGATATGATGGAGGTAGGTCAAACAATCTCTTGCTTACCTTTATAAAGTCTACTATAGTAACCATTGTTTCCACTGTTAGAGCTTTAATATTCAGAACAGTGTGTCCTGTAGCGTTTGCACTGCAGATATTAGCTCAAATGATGTGGAATATTGAGGTGTGTTCAGAGTGATTAGACTTATGGTGATTGCCTCGGTTAGCAATAAATCGACTAAGAAAATCTCTTATATTTGCATTGACTGAGGTACTGGAAAATTAGCGAAAGCGAAATCTAGCTGCGGTGGGAAGAAACCTGGTAGTATCGCCTGCGTAACACATGAACCTGGCTGTATATCTTATCAGCGAAGAGAAAGTGACACAAATTTATCATTTCACCACCTTCCGAGTGACTCGAAGGTCCATTCTGAATGGATATTGAAAATAAAAAAAGATTTCAGACCTCATTTTCAGCTAAGTTAAGGGAAATAGCACTATTTAACCTTTTCTTTGCCATTTATCAAACGCAAGTTAGTGAACTGATTCTTTCACTATATTAGACTTGTCACGATACTGAAATTTATTTTTAAAAACGTCAATTTCACAATTGGCCATAGTATTCACCAGAGCTCAACAGAAATGAATGTGATTGGCTGTGAAGGTCATCAGTTCACCACTATTTACAAAGTACAAACACAGACAAGCAATCCACTGATAAATCAACTGATTTTAACTGATGTCCAGTTTCGCTGTATCTGAACCTGTATTGGCACTTGTTGCAAGAAATTTACATTTTTAAAATTCTAGTACTGGGACAACACGGTAACATTTTCAGTTAAGTTTAATTGAAACAATTAAACACCTATTAGGCATCAAACAATATCACAATCTCTTTAAGAGTAAACAGGTAAAGAGCACCAAGTAAGAGCACCAGGTAAACACCGTGGGGAAACTCCCCTGCTTCAGCCTATGTAACCTGGTGAGCGCTAAAACAATGGAGTCGTCTGTAGCACCCCCTCATGTTGTCGATAACACTTTATAATAACTACACATCATAAATCATTTATTAAGTTTATAAAGGCAGCTACAAATGCTCTATTCTTGACTTATGAGTATATTTATAATGTGTCTAATGATTGTGTTTTCATTGTTTGTTAATGATTAATTTTTCATGACTAAATTAGGTATCGCATTATTTACAAGCCAGTTATTTAAGAATAGTTGGTGTTTTTATAATTGTTTTTAGGGGTTTTCACCTTTAATGGACAGGACAGTGGAGATTGACAGACTGGAAAGTGTGGGGAGCAGAGATAGGAGAAGGATCGGCAAAGGACCTCTAGCTGGGAATCAAACTCAGGTCGTCGCGAGCACCTGGGTGCTATGTGTCAACGCACTAGGCCAGTGGTCACCAAACTTGTTCCTGGAGGGCTTGTGTCCTGCAGATTTTAGCTCCAACCCTAATCAAACACACCTGAACCAGCTAATCAATGTCTTACTTGGCATACTTGAAACATCCAGGCAGGTGTGTTGAGGCAAGTTGGAGCTAAACCCTGAAGGGACACCGGCCCTCCAGGACCGAGATTGGTGACCCCTGCACTAGGCTATTGGTGCCGACTAGTTGGTGTTTTTTGAGATCATTCAGAATGAGTTAGTAAATGATTAATAAATTATTGAAATCAACATTTATAATTCGGATAATTCTGGCGTATACTAAATGCTTAATTAACTCAACTTCATCATTCATTCATTTCTTTTCGGCTTAGTCCATTTATTAATCTGGGGTCGCCACAGTTGAACGAGCCGCCAACTTATCCAGCACATCTTACACAGCAGATGCCCTTCCCATCCATTCATGCTTATACACTACGGACAATTTAGCGTACCCAATTCACACTGCATGTCTTTGGACTGTGGGGGAAACCCATGCGAACGCAGAAACTCCACACAGAAATGCCAACTGATCCAGCTGAGGCTCGAACCAGCGACCTTCTTGCTGTGAGGTGACAACACTACCTACTGCACCACTGTGTCGCCGACTTCTTCCAGTTTTGTGACCTAATCTAAAGTGAGGACTATTTATGCTTTATAAATTTCTTATAAATGACAAATAAAGGGTCAGTTATATTCTAAACAGGAAAAAAAAGAAAACAAGCGACTTTGTTCATTTATATTTATTTGACGATACACAAATGAAACTGTATCAAATGAAAATAAATCTTTGCAATTTAAAAATAAACTAACATAAAATTACTGTACAGTTTAAACATCGCTAAATAACACTGAAATGTTACATCATAGTATGTTGTTAAATCATTATATTGTTGTTGCTTTATCCATTTTTACAATAATTTTACAGTAGTTCTATTTTTATATAAGATTACAAAGATTAATGTTTATTTAATATGAAGCCTTTAATTGATATTTATAAAGGATTTACAAAGCATAAGTTGCCCTCACTTTAGATTAGGTCAAAAATCTGCATAAGGTTGAGTTGATAAAGCATTTATTAACATACATAGACATTAACATTAACATTAACATTACCATACGCCTGAATAATAAGATATATAAATGGTGATTGTGTAGTATTATTATTATTATTATTATTATTATCATCATCATCATCATCATTATTATTATTATCATTCAAAAGTTTATTAATCATTTACT